TACTGCCTTGCCAAATCTATTCCCAAGTTTTTTCCTACCCTTCTTTCTGTATCATCATCACCTATGTATTTCTAGCTTTTTGGATTCCTTATTGTCATCTGCCTTTTTTCTCTAATTTATTTTTTACACATACTATCTCCCCTGTCTCTTTATATCGCCCGCCTCGTCATATCTTCCCCCATATATGTATCCTCTTATTCATCTTTCATTTCTACCTGAGTATATCTCCAACATGTCCTGCAATTCAACATCAATTCTTGTCCCGTCTTTGCCTATCACCTGATCCTATATTTATCATACGTTTGGCCCTGTCCATCTGTTCCTCCACCCAACTTTAATTTGTCTGTCTCCTTCCCTCCGTCCTTCAGCCTTCAGCCTTCTCCTGCATCTGCAACCCTTCTGTATTCTGCTATCCAATCTATGTGCTCCACATTCGGAATTTAATCAATCTCTATACACTTTTTCTGATCTGCTCAAAATTTTTACTCTATCCTAGCCCATCAACTCAATCTTGTATTTTTCACATGGAGTATTTCTTGTTTTGATGAATTCCTTTTTCTCATTTTGTATGATGTTGCATTTTTGCATAAAAGTATCTATATTCCAAAGTTTGATGTCGATGCATGTTTGTATCATTGTCATGGTAACTGAATAGCAAGCAATTGGTCCTCTGTTGTGCTTAGTGCTTATTTTTTTCTTTTGTTCAAATTTTGGTTAATTACTGTATTTGCTGTAATAGAAGCGCATATAAACCCAAAATTACGTTTGTTGTATACTGAATCGGTAAAAATACTTATTTTGCTAATAGAAACAACTGATCTATGCTACTAATAGAGAAAATACTGTATATAGGGAATTTGTAATGTATAGTTTTTTTGTTTTTTTTTAAAAAGCTGTAGACTCCAATCATGATGTTGTAATACTTAATTCCATCTGTTGTCTTTGTGCATATGAACTGAAATTTTTTCTCAGATCACCTAATTTTTAATGGGGACAATTTTGGTGCTCAGAACCAATGATTTGAACTTGTTAGCAACCACTCTGCTGACACATGTCACATTCAAATTGGTTTCAATTGATTGATTCAGTGGATTACATATTAAGCATTTCATATAGTTTTTTTTTTTATAATTTGATTAAAAATGGCCGACTAGTGGCCAGAATTTGTATGCAACATGTTTTAAACTGCTGTGAAGTACTTTATTTTCACTTGGAATTTATTTTTGGGATGAATAATAAAATCCAGCAACAATTTCTTTTTTTCCCATCTTTTCCACTTAAATCAGCTAAAATAAACTTTAAACAAAACTGCCAAAATGTCTTTTCAGTAAAAATTAATTGGAGCAAAAATAAAGTATTTTATAATATGATTTTCAGATGAATTTTGTACCAAATAATCATAATTTCTCGGTAATTTTTGTGTCGAATAAATTATGTTGGTATAGGTCATGACGGGTAACAAAATAGAGTTTTAGATAGATTAGAAAAATTTTTTTTCAGGTTTTTATAATGAAAAAACGTACATGTATCACTTATCAGGATTAACAAACACACAAATATACCTATGATAGACAGAATACCGGTAAGCAGTATATCGACATCCCGAATGACAAATTACAAGTTGGCAAAACGGTAGTTAAGTTTTGTTTTTTGTTTTTGCTCCAGTGACAGTTATCTGAGCTGTATTGCTGTGACGGGAAGTACGGTTACAGCTTTGATAATAACAGCAGGTAGAAGCAGTGGAGTACATCCTTCTCTTAATGTTAACCTACAAATAGGCGATTGTTTGAGTTGCATCGTTGTGTGAATAGTTGGGCCATTAACGACAAGCGAATGAAAAGAACGTTTAACATCCTCACTAAAAGTCAGTTTCATAAAATATTCGGCAGTGACTTCCTGTCGTATTATAAACACTGTGACATCATACATAATGCTTAACCGAGATAACAATTTTTTGAAATCACCTGCTTTTTCCTGTCTCCAATGCCTTCTCCTGCATTCTCTGTCCCCCGAATGAAAAGATTAGCCTTCTACATTGAAATGCGGCAACGGCAATCCCTGTAGAAGAAGAAAGCGGCCACATATGCCGTTGCTGAGAACGTTTAAATTTTAATGAGGCTTAAAGGTTTTTCTAGATGATGGGATCTGATCCCCCTGTCTGCCGAAATGTCCAACTAACTCAGTCATCAGAGACTGTTGTTTCAATCATGTGAGAGGGTTTCAAAATCCGTGCTTCCTCTTCGGTGTCAAACGTACAGGTTACATTGAGCTTAACATTTTCAATTTTCTCATCTTCTAATCTGCATAAAATTTGACAGTTTGAACTTTTATGAGCTGCAAAATAGGGTACCGTTTTTTATGATAAATGTCGCAGAAAATAAGTTTTTTTTTTCAAAAATATTAAAAATTAGATATTGCATCTAAGAAAGAAATTTTCCTGCAGGTGAATGAAAATGAAAAGTCTGAGGTTAAATTAATGTCTTTTGTAGGTTTTGCCCCCCCCCCCCCCCGACAATTGAACAATTTTGCCAAAAATCTGCATAACATCATATCCATATCTTTTATTCCTGAATATCGTGCAAAAAAAAAAAAAAACAGCTTTACAGAGACTTGAAAAATGATACTGTTTTTATCTTTTATATTAGGATTTTTTTTCTTTGCTTCAGTTCCCATAACAGTTGATGTTCCAATGCTTTGAAGAAAAAAAAAAAAAGTATCTCCCCCGAGTTGAAATATAGTGAATGTATGTTTAATACTTGGGAGAAATGTCGACATTTGCTTTCACACGTACATGAAGTGGCTTGTTTCATATGCTTTAAGCAACAAACTGCGTTAATAGGCAATAGTCTTTTGATTCACGCTCCACACTAGATCAATTTTTTATTCCATTTTCAAGCACTTAACAAATTTTGTTGCAAGCAGCCTTCTGGCAAACTTCCTAGCATTTTCCAGCTGCCTCTTGTACAGTAGAACTTAGAAGATCATTCAGTAATATTGTTTTTTATTTTATCTATTTTTGATGTTAGTTGTACCGGGTTTATACATCTCTGTTGGTCGTCTGGATTGGTTGGTCATACTTCTATTGATTGTGAGTGTTTTTATAACGTTCTCCTAATTTATGCTAATTTTGACTCAAATTCATTTTGCGAGTGTTAACTATATACAGTTCTTGGCCAGAATTAATTAAATTGAGATTGTCTAAAGTGAATGTTTTCTAAAG